ACCACTTTGTCAGGCCCAACAGCCTGGCATGCTAACTTTTCTGGTAGAATTCAGCTGCGAATTTCTCTATTTTTGGGCTTTTTTTTTTTTTTTTTTTTTTTTTTTTTTTTTTTTTTTTTTAATTTTTAGAGCAGTATTTCTCTCTGGTTCTATTTCTTCAATACTAGAACATACTTCCTTATTACAAGTCCAAAGGAACATACACGATAACTGCAGATTTGCATAATAAATTCATTTTTGTATTTAACACTCTCCTTTAATTCAGCAGATGGGTTAATTAGAAAAAAAAATTGGGAGTCAAGCACAGTGGCTCATACCTGTAATCCCAGCACTTTGGGAGGCCAAGGCGGGCAGACTGCTTGAGCTCAGGAATTCAAGACCAGCCTGGGCAACAAAGTGAGACCCTGTCTCTACAAAATATGGAAAAAAATTAACCAGGTGTGGTGGTGTGTGCCTGTAGTCCCACCTACTAGGGAGTCTGAGGTGGATACTTTGAACCAGAGAGGTAGAGTTTGCAGTAAGCTGAGCTTGCACCACTGCACTCCAGTCTGGGTGACAGAGCCAGAGCCAGTCTTTAAAAAAAAAAAAAAAAAAGAAAAGAAAAGAAATAAATGGAAAAAAGAAAAAAAAATGGGGAGATAATATCCAACCATGAAAGCTATGACATTAAACACTGTGAGACAAACTGCCTACAGAACCCATCCCTGCAATGTACTGTAACAGTTAACTTTCTCCATAGCACTGATAATCTGAAATTACCATGTCTGTTTTTACTTGTTTACTGTGAGATTCCCCCCTGAAACATATGCTCTTTGAAGGCAGGAACCTCGTCTGTCAAGCACTTTCATATCCCTGACACAAAGCAGGTGCTCAGTGAGTATTTGCTCAATTCATTAACATCCTCAATGCATCAGACTCCTGCCTAGAATCCAACCTCCAGCAAAAGTGGAGTACAAGTGGTACCAATACTTAAAATCTCAAAACACTTATTCACTCACTCACAAATCAGAGAGGCCATACAATGTATTAAGAGGACAGACTCCAACGCGGGAATGACTAAGGTCAAATCCTGGCTCCATCACTTGCTAGTTATATGGATTTCAGGCAAGTTATTTAACTTCTCAGAACCTCAGTTTCCTCACAAGTAAATTGGGGATAATAATAGTGTCTCAAAGGACTTCTGTAGGAATTAAGAGCTAAAAATTATAAATTACTGAGAAAAGTAACTTGCATATAGTAAAAGTTATGTGGCCAGGTGCGGTGGCTCACACCTGTAATCCCAGCACTCTGCGAGGCCGAGGCGGCAGATCACGAGATCAAGATATCCAGACCCTCCTGGCCAACATGGTGAAACCCCATCTCGACTAAAAATACAAAAATTAGCTGGGCATGGTGGCGCGCACCTGTAGTCCCAGCTACTTGGGAGGCTGAGGCAGGAGAATCCCTTGAACCCAGGAAGCGGAGGTTGTAGTGAGACAAGATCACGCCACTTCACTCCAGCCTGGGTGACAAAGCAAGGCTCTGTCTCAAAAAATAAAAAAATAAAAAAATAAAAAATCGAAACAAAACAAAACTAGATTCAGAGAAATTCTATCCTCCAAATTTTTACAATTGATGTCACTGTTTTGAAATGTTAGAGTGAGTGCTTTTCTCTTCATTGTTCTTTCCATTTTTATTTTTTATTTAGAGACAGGGTCTGGCTCTGTCACCCAGGCTAGACTGCAATGGCTCTATCATAGCTCACTGTAACCTCGATCTCCTGGTTCAAGCTTGTAATCTGAAAGATTTGGGAGGCTGAGGCAGGAGGATCATTTGAGGCCATGAGTTTGAGACCACCTAGGCAACACAGCAATATCCCAACTTAAAAAAAAAAAAAAAATCCACAAAAAAACAAAAACAAAAACAAAAAACAAACAAAACAGGCTGGGCACGGTGGCTCACGCCCGTAATCCCAGCACTTTGGGAGGCCAAGGCAGGTGGATCCTCTGAGGTCAGGAGTTCAAGATCAAGTCTGACAAACATGGAGAAACCCCGTCACTACTAAAAATACAAAATTATCTGGATGTGGTGGCATGTGCCTGTAACTCCAGCTACTTGGGAGGCTGAGGCAGGAGAATCACTGGAACCTGGGTGGCAGAGGTTGCAGTGAGCCAAGATCGCACAATTGCACTCCAGCCTGGGCAACAAGAGTGAAACTCCATCTCAAAAAACAAAAAAATCCAAAAATTAGCCAGGTGTACTGGCACACACCTCTAGTCTCAGCTACTCAGGAGGCTGAGGCAGGAAGATCCCTTGCGCTCAGGAGTTTGGGGCTGCAGTGAGCTATGATCAGTCCACTGCACTCCAGCCTGGGTGACAGAGCTTATC